GCATCCTGAGCTGTTTGCATGTGACAATTCCAGTACAGCACAGACCCTCCACAAACTTGTTTACATGACTGTATCACCTCCTAGGCCCCAAGTGAAATGAAGGGACTAAATTTTAATTTCTGTATCCCTAGCTTGTAGCTCAGTGCCTGAAAAATACTTGTGAAGAATGAAGGAAAAACTGAATAAAATTGGAATTTCAAAAGTTCTTGTTTCTCATATTTTCTTCATATTTCCTAGGCTGATCTCTTACTCTAACTCCTTCACCAAGATGGCAGAATCCACGTTCTGTGAATTGCTAACCTGACCCAGCAATTCTGGCTGATAGCAAAGGGGAAGGGTGTAAATACAAGGCAGTATGGCTGCCAGTTTGAAGTCTGTACTTCCAGGTACAAATAAGTAAATGTATTTACAAACTCAGGCTATAAATCTCGAGGGATGCAAACTGGCCATATCCTTTGACAGTAAGTCTTTTTTTGCCTTAAAACACACATTTTAGTACCAAGATTGAGAAACCTAGAAATCCTCACAAATAAATGATGAAATCTTGGCCTTCTTGGGGTTATAGAAGGCTTCTCAAATGGCATTTTCCCTGTGTGACTGTTTCACTGTCCTCTTTTTTATGACACACTCAGAAGGGATCAGGACCCACTCTATTCCAGTATGACCTTGTTAACTTAATTGATAATATCTGCAAAGAAAATCCCTAAATGAAGAATTTCACTAAGATCAAAACACAATTCCAAATTCCTGAAAAACCTGTCAAGGATAGTATTAAATAACTACAAAAGGCTAATGATTAAACTTGGCAGTAAGAGTTGGGTTTAATTTTTAAAGACAAAAATAAAACATACCACTAAATTAAATTTCAGATTATTTGTTGAATCCACAGAAACAAGCAAAACACTTAGCAGTGAGAGTGGGAACTCTTTTGTAGAGTCGGGAGGCCTGAGTATGTTGAAAGACTAGATAGGATAGGCAAGTACTACAATTAAACAAATATGAGTGCAAAGATACTCGTGGTGTTAAGTTAATGCACTGGACTGCTAACTGAAAGGTTAAAGGTTTCAATGTACTCAGAGATGCCTTGGAAGAAAGGCTTGGTATTCTACTTCGCAAAGATCAGCCATTGAAAACCCTATAGAGCACAGTTCTACTCTGAAATACGTGGGGTTGCCAAGAAAAACAGCATAAAACTGAACATCCAATTTGTGTGTAGCTTCTTCAGGCTGACAGAGTCATCTTTTTGGTAACTTTATGATAAGGGTTTATTGTAAGAACAAATGGGGCCATCTAGAATCAATCAGGACATAAGATGAGGCTACCACAGTCTATGACCAGCTCTAATGACTCAAAAGCCAAGCTAGCACTAAGTTTCTCTGCCTCTGACAGTTTCGGATCATTTATTAGTTTCTTCTCCCTTGGCATTATCACTACCCATCTCTATGTTATGGCTTTGTTTAAGTTTTCTGAGTTTTTGCTTTTCTTGCTATTCTATCTGCTGACACTGTGTCCTGAACCTACGATGTAGTAAGAGAGAATTTGACTGGGTCAACAAGTTAGCAGCAGGGATAGAATGCCTCTCTGGGCAAAGCTCTCATGCAAATGCATCCCATAGGTGACTCACAGGTGCATAAAATGATTGCTTCAGGAATAGACACAAATTTCTGCCCATTCAACTAGCTGAGAGAGAGAGAGGAGTCCCACAAAGCTTGATGAACATGAAAAACAAAAGCAAAAACCCTTACAACTTCCTGGTTTGTTCAGATGAGGGCTGAGAGTGTAGTAGGCTCTCAAGTGTCATTTAGTACACCACTGTTCCTTCCAACCTGTGAATCTTAAATAGGTCTCATACTATAAAGTTCCTCTCACTGGAATCTAAATCATTCATAAAATCGGGAAATAAAAAGATTAAAGATGATGACAATGGGGAAAGCCAGGAAGCATCATAAAGGTGCATAGGGATAGAACTCTGGGAACTGATGGAGGTGGCCTCAGTAGCAACTTCTCTTCTAGAGCTGAAGGGAGAAGAGGTAGAATTCACGCTTGATGATTTTTATCTTTTCTGTAAAGTTAGATGAAATAAAAGAACTATTGATAGTAATAAGAGATAAGGAATTTGAGGATGATACAGGAGGTTTAGAAGAGTCATTAGAGAAAACATATAAATGGACAAGAGGTTGGTAAGAAAAACATTGCCAAATAGGACTTAGGGTTCCCGTAATACCTTGATATGCATGATTAGTAGAAAGTCAAGTCAGATATTCTATAAGTGAAAATATGAACAGTGAGCTGACAACTTAAGGTTGAGGGTTGAGAACAGGCAGAGGATAAAAGTGTTGTTAGTGGGGGTATCCACATATAAATTAGACAGAAATCTAATAATAAAGAGATATGAGTGGAATATACATCTGGAATTTAGCACAATTATTCAAAAGTATGTAGGCATAGAAAAGAATAAGAAAACTTCCTTCCCAGGTTTAATCATGCCTGCTTAAGAAAAAAGACAATTAAATAGATGCTGACCCTTTTGTAAAAGAATTTGTTGTATATAGTGTTTATATGAAGCATGATTCTTAATTTCATGTCTCCTATTTGGGCATGGTATTTTATGCAATATGGTTTTGCTTAGAAATTTTCGCTAGGCCATCACTTCCCTGTTTTTCTTGTTGGGAAATGGGAAGAGAACCAATCTTTCTGTATAACCAATACATGTCAGTTTCTGTGCTAGGTACTTTACATATGTTATCTAACTAATCCTAACAGCATTGTGGGGCAGGTCCTACTTGTAGTGAACTACAGGTGAGAAAACCAAAGCTCACAGAGGTTGAATAATTTGCTAAAGATAGTAAAGTAAGTCTGATTCCAAAACATATGTTCCCTCCAATAATAACCAAACTCACTGCCGTCGAGTCAGATCCTTGGGTTTCCGAAGTGGTATCACTACAGAAGTAGATTGCCCAACCTTCCTTCCAAGGAGTGGCTGGTGAGTTTGAACCACCAGCCTTCTGGTTAGCAGTCAAATGCCTTAAGCACTACGCCACCAGAGCTCCTATTGTTAATGTTCATAAATCAAATAATATAGTCTACCATACTAACAGAATGCTGGGGAAATGGTCTGCCTCTGCATCTCCCATCTAGGTCCCCTAAGACCTTAGACCCAGAAGGCTGTTTCTTCTCCTTATCAGAGAAGACTTCTTGTTCTGGGCACACAGTAACTTTCTTTTGCACATGCATGGGCACCATATGACATCTGACCAACTCCACTCACGTGTGTTCCAGGTGGGGACGGAACAGGATCTCTTGTCTACATCATGAGAAGGGTCTAAGTAGGACATCTGCTCTGAACTAGTCACATGGTGGGAGGGGAGATCCTGCTGGCTATGAGAGACTAGTGGTCACTAGTTAAGCTGATCTCGCTGTCTCTTTATGTGAGTAAAGTTTGTGAGTCCACACCACCAGTGGAGTAAGTGTGTCTTTTCTTGGCAAACTTGAACCCTGCTCTGGTCTCAGTGAAACAGCCTTTCGCTGCCATTTTGTAATGTTGCTAACAGTCAGGGCCAATACTTTCTGTCAGTGACAGCTGTTGTTACTGTCCTGGGGACTCAGTGAATGCTATAAAAGGAGGTAAACTTAAGATCAGCAGAGCATAGCAGGCTGCTGAACAACGACTCATCTACATGCAGGGTTCAAGTGTGCCATAAGCTAGAGACCATTCCCAAAGCTGCTTCTTATATATGGGAAGCAGACCACATCCCTAAAGCAGCTACTCAGCTGCTTGTGGTAGATCCCACCATGGAGCTTGACTGCCAGTCTCATCATGGGGAATAACCACCACCAGCTGCCCAGCCACTCAACCAGGCCCAGCCAAGATGACATACAAATTTAATCACCACATTAACCAAAATCAGAAGCTGTTGAGTAGACACCAATTCATTATGACCCCATGCAAGTCACAGTAGAACTGTGCTCCACATGACTACCTGTCCTTGTGGAGGATGTAATTCAATCTATAACAAGGCCACACTCTAGAACAGTTGAACAGAGGAAAGTCATGGTAAATTGTGACTTATTCCTGTTGCCAAGGTTTACTCGTGGATATGACTTTACCACAAATATGGACAAAGTTATTAATATCTGTTCTGCCTAAAATATTTTCCCCATGATTAAGAATTCTGATCAGCCAATAGGTGCCAAGTACTTATACAAAGATACAGAATATACCATCAAAAGGAGTAAGATGAGCGTTCTTTTTATCATTAACTAGCTGTGCAATCTTGCACAAGCTACTTAACCTGTTTTGTTGGCTTTTTTTTCCCCCCAAAAGAAATCTGGTAAAATGAGGACTTTGGATTAGGTGGTGTTAGGTGGTGTTTAAGGTCTCATTGGACTCCTTCCATTCATTCAGTAAATATATTAAGAATCTTCTATGAATCAGGAATTGTTGCAGGTGCTGGGAAAATTAAGATCTGATGGAATTTACACACCATATAATTTCTTAATCTTAAAAAACTGTCATGGTATGAGGAATAGCAAGTGGCACAAATTTTCCAAATCACTTAGTAAAGTTTTTTAACAGTATACTCATACCCCCTCCTATACTCTCCAGCTTGCCCTCCCTCCAGGAGGTAAGTACTATGGGGAACCATTGTGACTGATAAACTTTTGTGGTATCCTTCATATAGGCAAGGCAGAAAAAAAAGGTTGAGAATTAATGTTCTAAATGATACGGCATATGGAAAAGGTGCCACTCACACTGCCATATGCTGAAGTCTGAAGGAAGATTCATTAGAAGAGCCAATTTTAAGGTGAAAGAAAGTTTGAAAGTGCACTTGAATTAAAAATCCCTGATTAATTTAAGCCATGTGGGTACTTGTAACAATCAGATAATAGAATAGTAGAATACTTAACCATGCTATTATTGGCTGTGATCTCTCTTGCTAAATTCATTTGGCAAAATTGTTTTTCAAAAGTCACCAGTATCCTTCTGCATTTTCCTGTGCCAGGCCACGGACAGTATTCTGTATTCAAAACCAAACAAACATACTTTAATGGTGTCCAGAAGTTTGGTGGTCAAAGACTCTTGAGTATGTTTTATTATTCTTTCATGTTCTAAAAATATAACAAAATCTGAAATGTTGGGAAGTTGTAAAAAGTTTATTACCATGTAACAGTTAAAATTTGTGCAATAGTAAACACAAATTACCATGGAAATGTATATATGACTCAAAAAATTAAAAACAAAACAAAAAAAACACACCCTCCAGTTTAACACTGTCAGTCATAGAATGTTTTATTTTAAACTTGCTGTTCAAACTTTCAAATATAACACACGTGGCAAAGAGACAACCGTTAACACACAACATCTGCCACAATTCTATCTCTGAACTGCCTTTTCTCTGTTTTGTGGTACATTACAATTTCTTACATGATATTCATGGTGCTCTTACAGGCAGCAATGTCAAGTTTTTCTGCTTTGAAAACAACTTCACCGTTATTGTTCTGAGACTGCTTAAAACACAAACTTTCCTTTTAGTACTCCACTGCTGCCCACATTAGTGACACAATTCAACATATTATTAATAAGCTGCTGAGAGGTATATTGTATTTTAATTAATCAACTCCCAACTTCAAAAGAATTTCAATCTAAAACAAACCTTTTCTTAAATCAGCATACTCAGCTCTTCTCAAAAATATTTCCATTCTGAAATAAGATTTTTTGTGTGTGAGATACAATAATTTCATCTTTTCTTCCTAACAGAACTCATGCTGTACTTTTTTTCTCAAAATATATTCATTATATTCTGTGCAAAATGTTCAGTTCTGTATATGTATGTACCTTATTTTGAAAAAGTTTATAAAATATAATTCCTAAAACAACCTCAACGTTAGATAATAGAGGAAGAAGAAACATCAGACAAAGCCTAATTTTTCACATGAGAAAATAAGTATGTTCTTAAAGCTCCAGTAACACATTCCTTGAAAAACTCAGAATGCACTTTGGTTGTTATTAACACATTAGAACCCAGGCAAATAAAACAACATGCTTTCTGTTGTTTTCTGTACAAAGGAAATACACTACATAATGAGGTTGAATTGAGGCAGATCGAAAGGAATGGTGGGAGCAAAGTGCTGTGACATGGCTCTATTCTCTGCACATTCCTGATCTTAAGAATATGATTTGGGGATTAGAACTGCACCAATCAAGTAAATCATTTACAACTGTTTTAAATTCCCTACTACATGGTAAAAAGTGAGGAGATTCAACACGATATACTTTGCACCAAGAAAATTCTGGATTGTTTCAATAAATTCTTTGTTTCAGAAATCAGATGCCCAGTTTAAAAAAAAAAACTCTCAAAAACAATTCATGTTTCATGTAATTTCTAAAACACTGTTGATTGTACAAATACAGTAACTTAAAATAAGGCCCAATTGTAAGATACTGCCATATTTTCCCTATTTACCTAACATGCTGGCATGATAAGTACTCATACTTGGCAAATTATTGGAGAGGGTAAAAAGCATTTAAAATAGCCCTTATATAATGGGGGGTGAGAGGAAGATGCACCAGATTAAGTGTAGAGGAGAGAGTTTATAAGCTGAAGTGGTCTTTTTGGAAACTTTGGAAATAGTTTTAAAACTAGCAATCAGGGGAATATGGTATTGGTTCTTACCCTATTCTTAGGGTGTTCATTTGAATGTGGTATGAATTGCATACACTATGTGTACTACAGAGAGAAAATTCTTTCACTTGAGTAAACATAATGTACTTTAATAATATTAATAGGCACTTCACTTGTGAGATGAGTATATACCTCACTCAAAAGGATACCATATCATGCCCTAGTACACTATAACCTATCCCATATAAAGATGTATATTAAAAGAAACAATTTTAAAAAGTGCACATTTTGAGCATGCACAGTTGGAGCTGTGCAAACAGCCCAGTGTTTCAAATAAATACAATTATTACTAGTTCATTTTTATCAAAAAATCTTACAGTATGGTAACCATTTACAATTATTGCTCTATTAAGAATTTTGTCATCAAAGAGCACTTGTTGACCTTTATGTAACATCATGTACATTAATACTGAAGGGTGCTGAAACTGCAGCTTAATCAATACAGATCCTGGCATTGTTCCAAAATAATTCAAGATAAACCCTGACTGGATCTTGATTTACTGAAAAAATGCTATATTGCTTAGCTGAGTCCGCTGAAATATTCCAAAGTTAAAGAAGTTTTCCTCAAGTAAGGCAAGTTCATGGCATTGATGGAGAAACAGTGCTTAGCAATGGCTTCCTGTTTTCAGGATCTGCAATTCTATCAATTATTTATGAGCAATTACCAGGACCTCAAGTATCTGGATATCATTTCTATCACCCTTTCAACAACAAAGTATACATCAATGCTTAAAAATAAAATATAAAGACTAAAATAAATGTAAAAAACAGTGAACAAGTAGAATAAATATAAGAATTGCACAAGACAGTCTGATGTAAACACTTCAATTTCCCAGAGAAGACTCCTGAGGCAGAGTCAGTGACGGCCTTCAGGCAGCTGCGTGGGAACTCTGGTTCTGGAAAAGCGGCTACATCTTTTCTCTAAATTGTCATGACTTAATCTTCCATAGCTAGAAAAAAATGTAAAAGAATTAGAGCCAGCTCTAATAGCCTATTATAAAATTATATTGTATAATACTATTTATTTAAATTTTATCCATAAACAAATACAGGTTTTCATATTTTAATTCTTTTACTCTTTTATTTTCAAGAAGAACTCATCTTAAACAAATGAACAGAAAAGTGAAAATCAGGTATTTCCTGCTTTCTTTTACTGGGAAGTGGCAAGATACACATACTACTTGTTTAAAATGATTATCACTTATTCACTAACAGTTACTTGTACATATGCTACAGGAATGTATGATTATATAGATAATACAACTTTTTGCCAAAAAAAGAAGTATGGATTTTTTTCAGTCATCTAAATTACATTCAGGCTATGTAAGTAAAAATAATTACATTCCTTAAAACAAGCGTCCTATTTGTAATGAATACTGTTCCAAAATAGGAGTTTCGTAAGCATTACAATCCCAGAATATATATTACTTTTTGAAATTAAATGTGAAGTTGTTTTCCCTAATTCTATACACAGTTATCAAAATGACATTATTGTTCATGTGAGATATCAAAAGTGTTATTGCTGCTGTTGTTACCAAACCAAACACAAAACTCATGCCGTCGAGTTGATTCTGACTCATAGCGACCCCTCCTTGGGATTCCAAGCCGGTATCTCTATGGAAGTAGATTGCCCCTTCTTCCTTCCAAGGAGTGGCTGGTGGGTTTGAACCTCCAGCTTCTAGTGAGCAGTCAAATGCCTTAGATGCTATACCACGGAGCAAGGTGCCATCAATAGGCTTGGACTCACAGCAATCCTTCATACAAAAGAACGAAACACTGCCTGGCTCCGTACCATCCTCATGTCCTTGCGATGCCTAAGCCCACTGCTGCAGCCACCGTGTCAATCCATCTCGTTGAGGTCTCCCCCCCTTTTCACTGATGGTCTACTTTACCAACCACGATATCCTTCTCCAGGGAATGGTCCATTCTGACAACATGACCAAAGTAGGGGAGACGACATCCGACCAGTCTTGCTTCCAAGGAGCATTCTGCCTATACTTCTTCCAGGGCAGATTTGTTTGTTCTTCTGGCAGTCCAGAGGATATTCAGTATTCTTTGCCAACACCACAATTTAAAGGCATCATCAACTGTTCTTCGGTCTTCCTTATTCATTTTCCAGCTTTCACATGAATTTAAGGCAACTGAAAATACCATGGCTTGGGTCAGGCATACAACAACCTTCAAAGTGACATCTTTGCTCCCTAACAATTTAAGGAGATCTTTTACAGAAGATCTGCCCAGTGCAATACATCTGATTTCTTAATTGCGGCTTCCATGGGTGTTGATTGTGGATCCAAGTAAAATGAAATCCCTGACAACTTCAATCTTTTCTCCATTTACTGTGATGTTGCTTGTAAGTCCAGTTGTAAGAATTTTAGTTTTCGTTATGTTGAGGTGTAATCCATACTGAAGGCTGTGTGGTCTTTGATCTTCATCAGTAAGTGCTTCAAGTCATCTTCACTTTCAGCAAGGAAGGTTGTGTCATCTGCATATCACAGGTTGTTAATGAGTCTTCCTTCAATCCTGATGTTGCATTCTTCTTCATATAGTCCAGCTTCTTGGATTATTTGCTCAGCATATAAGCATATAAGCACTAAATAAATATGGTGAAAGGATACAACCCTGATTCACACCCTTCCTGATTTTAAACTATGCACTATCCCTTTGTTCTGTTTGAATGACAGCCACTTGATCTATGTACAGGTTCCTTACAAGCACAATCAAGAGTTCTGGAATTCCCATTCTTTGCAACATTACCCATAATTTTTTTTATGACTCATATAGTTGAAGGCCTTTGCATAGTCAATAAAACACAGGTAAACATCTTTCTGGTATTTTCTGCTTTCAGCCAAGATCCATCTGACATCAGCAATGAAAGCTCTTATTTCACGTCCTCTTCTGAATCCAGCTCAAATGTCTGGAAGTTCCCTGTCAATATACTGCTGCAACCATTTTTGAATTATTTTTGGCAAAATTTTACTTGTGTGTGATATTTATGAAAGTATTTGATATTGTCGTATCACCTTTCTTTGGAATGGGCACAAATATGGGTATCTTCCAGTGCATTGGCCAGCTAGCTGTCTTCTAGATTTCATGGCATAAATGAGGGAGCACATCCAGCGAGGTATCCGTTTGTTGAAACATCTCAATGGGTATTCTGCCAATTCCTGAAGACTTGTTTTTTGCCAATTCCTTCAGAGCTGCCTGAACTTCTTCCTTCAATACCATTGATTGTTGATCATATGCTACCTCCTGAAATGAGTGAACATTGACCAATTCTTTTTGATACAAGGACTCTGTGTATCCTTTCCACCTTCTTCTTCTTCTTTTTAAATTTTTTTGTGATTTGGGTCAAAGTTTACAAAGCAAATTCACTTTCCATACAGCACCTCACATATACTTTGTCTCTGACATTGACTGCTATTTCCCATAATGCAACAGCTCCCCTCACACTTCCTCCCCATAGTTAGCTCTTTCCTGTGTCCTTCCCTCCATGTACTCCTGCCCCCTGAGCTATCTCCCTGGCCCTTCTACTCTCCCATGATTGATCTTTCCAAGGAGTGTATCTACCTAATGTAAATGTTTAGCTCATATGCCTGTCTTTTGTTTGGCTGGAAGCCACAGGAGTGGGTTTAGTTCCAGACCTGAAGGGCAGCGAGGGGGTTCTGCCAGGCTCTATCAGACCAGCAAACCTGGCTCCTTTTTTTTTTTTTTTGAATGATTTTGAATTTTGTTCCACATTGTTCTCCCACTCTATCTAGGATCTCCTACAGAGATTCTCCTCCAAGTGGTTGACAGTGGTAGCTGGGCACCATCTAGTTCTTCTGGTCTCATAGTTGTTTAGGCTGAGGATTGCATGATGTACCAGTCCCTTGGACTAATTGTTTCCAGGTGTCTTTGGTTTTCTTCATTCTTCATTGCTCTGGATGAAGAGAGACCCATCATTGCATCTAGATGGCCATGTGCAACCTTTTAGGATCCTAGTCACTACTCGCCAAAGTAGGATGCTTCCATCTTCCTTTAATACATCCTGCATCATTCAATGTTTTGTCCATAGAATCCTTCAATATTGGAATTCAAGGCTTGATTTTTTTCTTTTCTTCAGTTCTTTCAGCTTGAGAAATGCTGAGAACATTTTCCTTTTTTGGTTTTGTAACCCCAGGTCTTTGCATATTTCACTATAATACTTTGTCTTCTCCAGCCACCCTTTAAAATCTTCTGTTCAGGTCTTTTATTTCATCATTTCTTCCATTCACTTTAACTACTCTCCAAGAGCAAGTTTCAGAGTCTTTTCTAATATCCATTTTACTCTTTTCTTCCTTTTCATGTCAACATCATGTATGATGTTTTTGATGTCATCCCACAACTTGTCTGGTCTGCAGTCATTGGTATTCAATGCATCAATCTATCCTTCAGATGCTCTCTAAATTCAGGCAGGATATAATCAAGTAGTGTTTTGGCTCTCTTGGACTTGTTTTAATTTTCTTCAGTTTCAACTTGAACTTGCATATGATCAATTGACAGTCTGTTCCACAGTCAGCTCCAGGCCTTGTTTTGACTGATGAGATTGAGCTTTTTCCATCACCTCTTTCCACAGATGTAGCTGATTTGATTCCTGTGTATTCCGTCTGGTGAGGTCCATGTACAATCATCATTTACGATGCTGAAAAAAGGTACTTGCTATGATAAGTCATCAGTCTTACAAAATTCTATCATATAGTCTCAAGTGTCACTTCTATTACCACGGTCATATTTTCCAACTATTGATGCTTCTTTCTTAATTTTTTGATGGTTCTTTATTGCCAACTTTTGCATTCTAATCACTAGTAATTATCAATACATCTTGATTGCATATTGGTCAATTTCAGACTGTTGAAGTTAGTAAAAATCTTTAATTTCTTCATCTTTGGCTTTAGTGGTTGGTGTGTAAATTTGAATAGTAGACTGCTAACCAGAAGGCTGGCGGTTCAAAGCTACCAGCCACTCCTTGTAAGGAAGGGTGGGCAATCTACTTCCATAGTGATACTGCCTTGGAAACCCAAGGAAGGGTCACTATGAGTAGGGTCCGATTTGACAGCACATAACAACAACAGTATTAAATGGTCTTCCTTGTAGGCGTATGGATATTATCATATCACTGACAGTATTGTACTTCAGGATATTTCTTGAAATGTTCTTTTTGATATGTGACACCATTCCTCTTCAATTTGTCATTTCCAGCATAGTTGACCATATGACTGTCTTGATTCAAAATGGTCCATACTAGTACATTTCAACTCACTAATGCATAGGATATTGATTTTATACATTCCAGTTCATTTTTGACAATGTTTCATTTTCCTAGATTCATACTTCATACTTCATACATTCCACATTCTAATTATTAATGAATGTCTTCAGCAATTTCTTCCCATTTTGAGTTGTGTTCCATCAGCACAGTAAGGTCCTGAAAACTTTATTCCACCCATGTTATTAATGCCAACCTTCTTTGGAGGAGGCAGGTCTTTGTCAGTTTTATGTTGAGTGTCTTCCAACCCAAGGGGCCTCATCTTCTGGGACTGTATTAGACAGTGTTTCACGGCTCTTCATAAAATTTGCCAGTAATATATCACATAGTGTTTCACTGCTATTCATTAGCTTTTTAGTGGCCAGTTTTTCAGCAGTGAATAGCCCTGTTCTTTTCCCCAGTCTGTCTTAGCTTAGTCTGGAAGCTCCACTGAAACCTGTCCCCTTTGGTGACCCTGCCGGTGTGTGAAATACTAGTGGCCCAGCTTCCAGGTTCACAGCAACATGCAAGCCACCAGAGTATGACAAACGACAGGTGAGTGGTGGAACAAGAGTGCTAGGGTAAAATAAATGGCACAAAACTGCAACAAAGTACTAAGAAATAAAGAATGCTCATAAGCTCTTACCTTTAAATTAAATCCAAGCAAGTCACTGATAACACCAGAAACAGCTGACAGGATGACCACCTGGGTAATGTTATAAAGCAGTGGATTCATTGTAAGCCCATATAATCTAAAGGGACTGTCCAATTCCTAGAAGAGAGGGAAAACAGAAAACAAAAAATACACTGACCCCAGATTCATTAAGAATTACCAAGTAAGGTTTGATAGAGCCTGATGGAACCACTGACTATGGCTCCTAGCTGCCCTTCAGGTCTGGAATTGAACCCACTCCTGTGGCTGCCAGCCAAATAAAAGACAGGCACATAAGCTGAATATTTCCATTAGGTAGATACACTCCTTGGAGGCATCAACCATGGGAAAATAGAAGGGCTGTGTACACACAGGGAGACAGCTCAGGGGGCAGGAGTTCATGAGAAGGACACAGGATGAGGTAACTATGGGGAGAAAGTGGGAGGGGAGCTGTTGCATTGTGGGGAATAGCAGTCAATGTCATGAGACAAAATATATGTGAGGTGCTATATGGAAAGTGAATTTGCTCTGTAAACTTTCACCCAAATCACACACAAAAAAGAATTACCAGCTAAACTATATGGCAATATACAATGAAGATTTTAAAATATGGACCAAATAAAATAAAGTTACAAATTAAGGGTACATTCTGGGAAGAATAAAGTTGGTTACAGTTGAAATAAGAACACAGACTTTCAATTTTACTTGAATGTGCTCAAATGGAAACAATTTGAATAATCATTAAAACCAAAAACAAGGTGGGATCCACAAAGAGCAGACTAAGACATATTGTCAGGACAGCATTTCATTGTATTACATAGTCAATTTTATTCTTACCTTTAGGAGTTTAGTAGCCAGTTTTAAAACGTTATTCACTAGTGTCAGTTCCTCTTTCTTGTTAGGTTTCTTCTCCATTTTCAAGTAGAGATTTATCTTTTATAAAAAGAAAGTAGATGATTAAAACTACACAGATTTTTAAAGAACTTGAAACATACTCATTAAAATAATAATAATGGCTCTCTAGGTATTGAGTCTTTTTTATTTTTTAATGGTAACTATGTTTACTTAACTTTTTAGGAACTGCCTACTGTTTTCCAAAGTGGCTGCACCATTTTAAATTTGCACCAGCAGTGAATGAGGGTTCGAATTTCTTCACATTCTCACTGACATTTGTTACTATCTTTTTGATTACAGCTATCGTACCACCTAAATGGTTTTGATAGCATCTTCCTGATGGCTAATGGTGTTGAGCATCTTTGTCATGTGCTTACTGTCCATTTGTATAACTCCTTTGGAGAAATATCTATTTAGATTCTTTGTTTATTTTTTAATTGGGTTGTCTTTTTATTATTGAGTTGTACGCATTCTTTATATATTCTGGATGCAAGTCCCTTATCAATATATGACTTGCAAATATTTTCAGGATTTTCTCCTATTCTGTGGGTTGTCTTCACTTTCTTTTCAATTGTGATTTGGATGAAAGGTTTACAGAGCAAATAGGTTTTTCATTCAATAAGTTCCTAGCATGATGGGTGTCTAAGGGCCATAGTCTTCATCAGACCAGTAAGCCTAGTCTTTTTTTATTATTTTGAGTTTGTTCCACACTTTCCCCACTCTATCCAGGACCTCTTACTGTGATCCCTTTCAGAGTGTGTGGCAGTGGTAGCTGGGCATCATCTTGCTCTTCTGGTCTCAGGGTCATGGAGCCTGGGGTTCACATACTCCATCAGTCCTTTGGACTAATTTTTTCCTGCGTCTTTGATTTTATTCATTCTTCTTTGCTCCAGACAGATCAAGACCAATAGCTGCACCTTAGATAGCCACTCACAAGCTTTAAGACCCCAGTCACTACTCACCAAAGTAGGATGTAGAATACTGTCTTTGTGTACTATGTTACGTCAATTGACCTTGGTGTCCTTGAGACTATGGTCCTGAGCCTTTATACACAGCGACTCATTCCCTCAAGGTGCTGGGTTATGACTAAGATGTTTTCATAACTTTGTCCCCTTTATGTTTTTTTATGTTCATGGATAAAATTTGTAGCACATATACATAACAGGTAGAGATAGGCTCTGTCAACCCTATATATACTTGTGAGTGCAGTCCCCTTCACCTTCCCACCCTTGTTTAGGTATTAAGCTTATTTAATATTTAACATTCTTTATATTTTACTGTGTATTCCAAGTTTCCTATAATAAACTTATATCACTGCACAATAAGAAAAACAGTAAGTTATTAAAACATCTTTCAAATGTAATTAAAAGCCAAAACAAAAAAGAAAGCTGGATGGCATTACTTAATGGTGACACATGCTACCCCTATAGCCAAATCAATTTAAATAAAAAAATTAGACTAAATCAAATGATTTGTGATTTATTTTAAAAGTAACTCTAGCAGATTAGATGTGTAACTTTTGTGTACCTTTATCTACCCTGTAACAGAAAATTTATAGGTGCCTGGCCTGTTCATAATTAGCTTCTTTGAAAAGAAGCCCATGAAGGGGCAGACCCGGGCAGCTGTGCTCTTTCTACTAGATCTGACAGTCCTATCCTCACTCTGGAAGCCACAGCTCATTAGGCTGGGGCGTAACCCCAAACCAAAGATAGTCCGTACGCTGGCTAAAGGGACTAACACGCTATCTGCCAGATAATGTAGGAGCATGAACTGAAAAGTAAAGTCTAAACTAAAATAGTCAAAGGCCAAATCAGCTGTAAATCAAAATTACAGACTAGCAATTATACAGAGACAACACTGGAACAAAGGTACAAAAGAAGCAGAAAGAGAAACCATACAGCTCAGAGCAAGTTGGAAGAACTGGCTGGTTTGTCCAGTTCCCATAAGGCCCAACTATACTTTATGTCCTTGAAATCCCTCTGTTGGCCACTCTCCCCTATTCTCTTAACTGAGTTCATTTTACCAGGTCATAGTTCCTTCTGTAAATTAGTGGTGGTTAGGTGCCACTTAGTGGAGTCTGACTCACAGCAACTCATGTGACTGAGTCTAATAGCCCCCTAAGTTTTTCTTGGCTATAAGCTTTACAGAAGCAGACTGACAGGTCTATCTGTTGTGGAGCCGCTGGGTGGATTCAAACTGCAAACCTTTTGGTTAGCAGCTAAGGACTTAACTGTTGTGCAAACCAAGGCTCCTTTAAAATCAAGCTATCCCTGACAAAGACAGTTATAAGTTCTTTGGCAGTAAGTTTCTCTGTATAATTTCTACAAAATGGTGAGAGGAAAATATTTAATAAACTGATACAAAATAGAGAATAATTGTAAAAATTATTTTGCTTTATCCTTCCATTCCAATATAAATTCATACTTATTTAAATATGTCTTTGCTGTATTACAAAGCAAACATATCCCATTAATGTTGTAACATCTATGCTTTCTATAAATAGTACTTCCTTCTTGCTGAATGGAAATGGAACATACAGAGCAGATCTGAAATCTGAGACAATGCAGAAACACTGAAGAATGACTTGAGTGCTATCAAATTTCAACTTTTGCTTTATAACACAAATGCCTTTATTCTAATAAGATATGTTCCTGAGAAATATGAAACACATGAATGCATTTTAGTTTACAGACATCATTAATTTATAACATATTAACCATACATTCTTACCTGTTCAGTAAGTAATATTGAGGTATTGCTATATTTTTTACTTGTTTCTGATCCAAGGGTAACAAATCTTAGGAGAAAAAGTGTTAATGAGATGCACCAGATTACCAGTTCCCAATTGTAGTGACAATCAAGGAAGATCTCATGCACATGAAGTAGCTAAAAGTGTACAAAAGGGAAATATGAAAAAGCAATGCAATTCAAATAGTTTCTGAAAGACAAAAACATTTTACTTCATACAAACTGATCATAAATGTAGTATTAAATTTGAAAAACATTCCACATCTATTTGAAATATTTCAAGCATACCAAAAGTAAAATATAATCAATACCCATAGGGACTCACCCAGTCTTGTCAACTCTTAATATTTTGTAATGTTCCTTTCAGATTTTTGAAAAGTAAAAGATTACAGATTCAGTTGAAGTCTTCAAACTTTTCCTTAATCCTCATTCCCCTTCTTCCCCCTACCTCCAGGTGTCATGATCTTTTTCATTCATATTTTTATAGTTTACCTACATATACATCCTTAAACTAGATATTTTATATGTATTTTAAAATTTTTATGTAATCACATTGTTCACATCATTCCTCAATTTGCTTTTTATTCCACTGAGCATTGTTTTCAAGATTTACCCATGTTGATACATCTAGCTCTAAGTTCATTCATTCTAACTCCTGTAATTTTGTAACAAATTAAACATTTATTTCTCACATTTAGGTCTTTAATCTACCTAGGGTTTACGTTAGAAGCCCCAGTGGCACAGTGGTTAAAGCACTCGGTGGCTTGAATGCATCAGCCACTCTGTGGGACAAAGATGTGGCAGTCTGCTTCTGTAAACATGTACAGCCCTGGGAACCCTATGGGCAGTTCTACTCTGTCCTAAAGGGTTGCTCTGAGTCAGAACTGACTCTATGGCAGTAGGTTTACATATGTGTGCATCAGTAGGACTATACTTCATCCCACTGGTTATTCTACACTGGTACGGACATCACAGTGTCTTTCTATCACTTTAAAATAAGTGTTTGTATTTCTGGTAAGGCATCTTGTTCTTCAAAATTATCTGAGCTATTCTGGGCTCTTTATGCTTCTTGATGAATTTTGGAAAACTTGACAAGTTCTATCAATGTGTTAGAATCAAACTAAATTTATAAATTAACTTGGGAGAAGTGATATGAAATTGAGTACTCCTGTCCACTAACATCATGTATCTTCTTTCATGACTTTCAATAGAGTTCCATATTTCATCATAAGGTAATACACATCTTTTGTTATTCTTATTGAAAATAACATCTATTACAGTTTTAATTATTTTTTCCTTTATGTGGCAAGGATCAGCAAATTCTGGTCCATGGGTCAAATCTGGCCTGAGGCCTATTTTCATTCAGCCCTGGGTCTAAGAATGACTTTTACATTTTATTAAGGGTTGTTTAAAAAAAAAAAAAAAAAAAAAAGACATGACAGAGACTGTATGTGGCACACAAGTCTGAAATATTTAATATCTGGACTTTTACAGAACAAGTTTGCTGATCTTTGGCTTACAGGAACAAAATTGATTTTTTTTTTTTATGTTAATCGGTATCCAGCAATGTTGCTGAACTATTTTTCATGACTGGCAAAGTCATTTGGATGTTTTGTACAGACAATCATATCATCAATGACTTCTTTTTTCCTTTCTAACTTTATGTAATTTCTTTCTTTTTCCTGTCTTACTTAGCTGGTTAATATTCTCCACCAAAATGCTGAGCAGAAAGGGTAGTAAGGGTATCTTTTGTCTTATATCTGATTTTAAAGTAAATACCTCTAAGGTAATATCATTATGTACAAAGTTTGCTCCAGGTTTTGAAAGACATCCTTTATCAGATTGAGGGCATGCTTTCTATTCCTTATATCATGAATTGTTGTTGAATTTTACCAATTTGTTTTCTGCATCTATGGAAATGATCACGTTTTTTTCCTTTTAATCCACTAAAGCAGCTAAAATTACAGTAACAGATTTTCTAAAGTTGAATCTCTGCACTCCATGGAAGAGAACTTCAAATTCTTAAAGAATCCAGAGTTACTGGACCTACTGAGGCTGGCGAAGACCAAAAAACTATGGCCCTGAGTAACTCTTCAAACCTTGAATTCCAACTATCTACTAAAGTCACCTTTAAACTAAGTAACAATTTAGCTCAAACACTGAAGTTTGTCACCATTGAGTAGACTGTTAGGAAAAAAAAAAATCTATACAAGACCAAAAGATCAACAGCTATTCTGAAGCATAAATGAGAAGACCGGAGGCAGAGAGTGGAATTAATGGGAGTGAACCAATTAGAACAGAAGCAATGAGGATGTTGACACAATGTGACAAATATAACCAATGCCACTGATTTATGTTTCTTAACTATGGAAATGGAGTAGGTTTTTCTGTGTGTATTTTCATCCAAATAAAGTAAAATATTCAAATATATTGCGGGCTTCATTTTGCTAGTACTTTGTTGAGGAATTATGCATCTAAGTTCATAAGAGAAATGACCTTCAGTTTCCCATTTTTTAGTTTTTCTGGCATTGGTATCAAGATTAAATTAGCGTCATAAAATGAGTTGGGGAATATCCTCTTTCTATTCTGTATACCATCTCTGTAGAGTAGGATTATGTTTATCTGAGTATCTGGCAGAATTTACCTGTAAAACCATTTGGATCTGGATGGTGTTTTATTGCTAGCTCATTTTAAACTACTGAATCTACAAGTGCTACATGACGGTTATAGGGCTTCTCTGGTTTTCAATTTCTTTTTGACTCAGTTTTAATAAATTATGTATTCTTACAAAATTGTTCACTTAAGCTTTCAACTTTAATGGCATAAAGTAATGCATACTAGTATTCTATAAAAAAAAATTTTCAGTTATGTCAGTGTTTATAAGTTTATACTATTTTCATTTTAAAAATTTATTTATAAATGTTTAAAAAAGTCCAATTATATGAATTTTGTCTGTCACTGTTTCCTACTCTGACTGCATTACCGCCAGATCAAACAGTCTGTATGCTGTCAGGCATCTGGCATTAGTTGATGTGGGCAATTTTTAAAAACTGGTGTTTTTTTTGCCTAAAAAGAATATGTATTCTTCTATTTAGAACAAGTATTTTTCAATTTGGTGTTTTAAAGCTGAAGAGTTTTCACTTTATCTAGAATGTAATATTAGATGAAATGGAAGTCTGCACCTTCTTTTATATCATATAATATGTTCCAAGATATTTTCATGCTTCTTGACTAATCTTGGTTACTGGGAATTCTACTTCACAGCACGTGGCTATCAAGTCATAGTGACAATTCAGAGACATGAAATAAAGGTATGTTAAATGTGAATAAGTCAGAGATTCACAGAAATTAGTATAAAACAAAGTCATAACTCTAAGACACTTAGAAGTTTGTTTGGGAAAACAAATTTGATAGACAAAAAAATTACTGTATGTTCATTCAACAGGCATTTCATATGCCAGCCAGTGTTCATGGCCCACAGATGAATAAGATACAATTATTTAGTCTACTGACAAAAATAAATTACAAAAAGTGAATTTCCAGTGGCTTACTTAGATTATTACTTTGTTACTAATTAGTAAAAAGCTTTCTGAAGCTTAGTATTTATATATTTGACAGCATGATTTCCACATGGAGCAACTCACCTGGGCACAACAGATAAACACAACTGAGATAGTCAACAAGAAAGCAGATGAAACTATTACATCAACTGATCGCTGAGGACCTCGGCGCTGAAAAAAGGGGAAACATTTTTAAATATATTTACTAATTAACAGCTAATTTTCACTAAGAGTTGATCATAGCTTATAAGTTGAAAATTTACCTAATTTGCCTGATGAGTTTCAATTATAAAGTGTTAATATTTTCAAAAGGTTTGCAGCACAGGAAAAATGGTATCTACACAGCTTAGAATTCTTATCAGAACTTCAACTATTTCTTATTTTCAAACACTATCATTTATTCAAAAAATATTTCTTGAGCACTGGCTCAAAATAAGGCACTGTGCTAGATGCTGGAAATACAGCAGGAAACAAAACAGATATGGCCACTACTCTCACAGAAACTAGTTGGGGAGACAGGTATCAAACTCACTATCACAGATACATGTGTTAAGTTATGATGACTGCTATAAAGGCAAAGTACAGGATGCTTTGAGAGAATTGGCAAGAAAACCTAATTTAGATTTGGAAGTCAGGAGTGTAAGCCTGGAAAGATCTCCCTGTGGAAGTGATATTTATAATAAGGGGCATCATGACACATGATAGAGTTCCAGGCAAACGGAAGAGCATGTGCAAGAGCACAGAACAGAAAGGAATGCAATGCATTTAAAGAACTGAAGCAACCAAGGGAGGACAGTATTTCAAAATGAGGCTAGAGAGGCAGGTCAACAAGACAAGAGCTTGATAATGGAGGGTTTTATTAGCTCTGTTAAGATTTTGTTTTTTATTCTAGAATATGGGAAATCTCCAAATAGTTTTTAGAATTGTATGGTCAAATACAGATTTTTAAAGATCATTCTGGTGGCAGACTGAAAAACGTATCAGAACAAGGACATATGAATACTGGAACGCCAGGTAAGAGGCAACTACAGTAGTCCAAGCAAGATGATGACTGATGGCTTTAATCAGGGTGGCTGCAATGGAAACAAAGTAAATGGATTCAGGATATATTTTGGAAGCAGAAAGGATAAGACTTGGTGATACACTGCACACTGCAAATATGACAAGGAAGTGTCAAAGATGATTTTCAGGTCTGCGGTTACATGTTTCCCTCACTGAAGGTGTAATAAGCTCCTAAGGGGAGGGACATTAAACATTACTGAATAAAATAATCAATGTATGCGAGAATCAATAACTACTTAGGGGTGATAAAGAGGAGAAATTTTGGATGGATTCTCACTAAGTCAAGCAACAAAAAGTCACATTCATCCTTCCATACAACAGAAATGTCACAGAGAAAAAAAAAATCTATGTCAATTTTCAGCATTTCCCAATGGAGAGTGAGTGAGCTAATTTAATGTTATATTAGTAAGTAGAAAAATAAAATTTTAAAATATAAAGATAGACAAATAGTACAAACTCTTTTCACTTCTTTGTTACTTCAAAATAATAAGCATTAAAGGTATAGGTGTGTCAGAAGAAATTTGGTCCTTGGGTCAATTGTTAATAAAAGCCTAGAAAATACTTTGAATAAGCAGCATTTGAACTTGCATGATTACTCCATATGTAAGTGAGATTCACTGTTACCTAATGGAACAAAAAAAAATAATTCTCAGGGGAAAAAGTGCTTCTTAAAATTAATTGTTTTCCTTCACAGAGTTTTTCTATTTTAATTCCATAATTAAGAAAACTATAAATAGTATGATATATATGTATATATTATATATTTATAGTAGTATAAAAATATTTTAAAATAGGAATTGGTCTATGGTTACAAATTCAGATTACAAAACTACTTTTTTAAGTAGTGGGCTCCCTCTGCTGGCTTGTGATAATTATTCTAAGAAGAGTGAAGACCCTTAATTTAGCTTCTGAATGAGTAGAAGTTGGTGAGATTTGTGAACAAAGGTAAATTTAGAGCAATCTGACCTTGAATCATTTACCTGAATGCATTTGAGCTTTTTAGACTTAAAAATTTTATACTGCAAAGTACTAGTTAAACATTTATTTTAAATTTGTGGATGTAGACCAAAAAGAACACTTAGTATGGTCACTCATCACCACGTAAGTGCATTTGTGACTATACACCTCAGCATACATACATACTGACAAAGACACTCAACTACTAGAGGGAGCCAGTATGCAAGAGCATTTTTATCACTGCCATTCTACCTTAAGATAGGAACGAAGAGATAGCCACATTTTTATATTTTGTACTTTCTTCAACCGGAAATGAGGAACCTCAGATTTTCGAGCCCTCCTTGCAGATGTTAAATGTCCAAAGAGTTTTGCAAAAAGTAATCGCTAAAAAAGATTAAGATGAGGATTAATTTTCAAGTATATTACCACAGAAAAACAAAAATCAACAAAATAAGGAATGTTATGATTATATTGGGTTAACTAATTGAAGATAAAACGAAAAAAATTAGTAGGTCAAAATTATTTAATGAAATACTAAAATGCTTCAGGAATATTTCAAAAACTATGAAAATGATAAAATATCCTCTCCTAGATTATTATACTCACCTGTTTATAAGTTCTTTCTGCTACACAGAGTAAAAAAAAGAAAATCCAAACAAGAGACACACGAACCACAAAACTTATTATGACCATAGAAAGAACTATGACATCTTCATTAGAACCGAATGCAATCATGTAAAGTTCTGAAGCAGAATGTGCTGTGAGTTGTTCTAAGTCTGTAGCTTGGGAGAGCCGGAAAACAAATGGAGTTAAACCCAAGATTAGAGAGATTGCATTCCCAAAAATCTGGTATCCTATTCCTGGAATATGGCTGTTGACCTTTATGAGAGAGAGAGAGAGAGAAAGAGAGAGTAAGAAGAAAATTTGTCCATAAATTTTATCCACAATAAAATGAATTCCCATTACACATTATTTATATGGAACTGTTTTGTTAAAACATATTGGTTCGAGTACATGAATAATGAAATTTAAATTTACTTAAGTTTAAGAGCTTATTGCATGTAATATGTAGGTCATTATTTCTTTAGTTTTTTAAAATAATTCATTATTAGATACCTTACTGATTAAATAGATGCAAAAAGACTAATTATCTCAGTCTTGCCAAGATCTTGAAAAATCAGGAAAATTCTATGTATCACATTACTTCAAAAGTTAAAAATATTCACAAATGTTGCCATATTAAAGAGAATGAGGTGATCTCATACTCACTTCAGTTCAATTCATTAAAGGTAAAATCTACAATTATAATGATTTAGCATTTTCCTTCCCATTAAAGAGCTCAATATACAAATTAAAAACCTCCTTAAATTCTAAAACCATTTTAGAAGAGAGAGTGTGTTAGAAGACCAAATGAAATGAGAAAGAAAAAGGGTGGGGGGTAATAAAAAAGAGAATTTGAAACTAAATAATAGGAAAATGTAAGCGTATCTAACATACTAGATTGGTAGGACTGCAAAGCATTTACAAATCAGCAATATATACATGTGTAATATAACTTTAAAAAGCCATATTCTAAATTAGGCAAATGAGGTTACTCTAAGTTAAGTGATCTGCTAGTTTACAAGAAGGAAGTTACAGAGCACTAAGTAGATTCAAGTTTCCAAAACCAAACCAAATCCACTGCTAACTAATAGTCAATACCAACTAATTGTGACCCTATAGGACAGAGTAGGAGCTCTGGTAGCACAGTGCCTATGGCACTGGACTGCTAACCAGAAGGCTGGCAGTTCAAACCCACCAGCTACCCCTCGGAAGGAAGGTTGAGCAATCTACTTCTGCAGTCATACTGCCTGGGAAATCCAAAGGGTCGCTATGAGTCAGGTCCAACTCAACGGCACATAACAACACAACAACAACAGGAAAGAGTAGAGCTGCCCCATGGGGTTTCGAAGGCTGTAAATCTTTATGGAAGCAAACTGCCCCCGTCTCTCTCCTGTGGAACCACTGGTGGGTTTGAACTGCCTACCTTTTGGTCAGCAGTTGGCTCCTGCACTATGAGACCAACTCTCCAAGTCTCCAGAGACTCCTAATTAATAGCATTTAATTGCTGAGATGTGTTATAGGGATCATATTAATTTCTGGGTCTGTTTATTTTCATTCTTGTCCTATATAAAGTTTGGACAACAGTTCTCCTATAACAATGTACCAAAGAAATGTAGAACTGCAAATTAGATCAGGCTAACTGTCCAGAGAACTCAAGTAAAATTTAAAAAGTATAATGACCTGTTAAAAGGAACAGTTTAATAGAAATAAAAACCCACAGTATTTGTCCTTTACTCTTCAAACTAATCAAGATTTTTACCATTAGCTAAAAATCTACATATTTAAACAGACAAACCAGTTGTTGTGTTGTTGTTAGGTGCACTGAGTTGTCTCCGACTCATAGCAACCCTATGCACAGCAGAACGAAACACTGTCCGGTCCTGTGCCAGCCTCACGATCCTTTCTATACCTGAGTCCATCGTTGCTGCCACTGTGTCAACCCATCTCATTGAGGGCTTTTCCTTTTCTTGTTGACCCTCCACTTTACCCGAGCATGATATCCCTCTCCAGAGAATGTCCCTTCTGACAACATGACCAAAGTAGGTGAGATGAAATCTGGCCATTCTGGCCTACAAGGAGCACTCTGGCTGCACTTCTTCTAGGACAGATTTGTTAGTTCTTTTAGCAGTCCATGGTATTTCAGTATTCTTCACCAACACCACAACTCAAAAGCATCAACTCTTCTTCGGTCTTCCTTATTCATTGTTCAGCTCTCAAAGGTACATGAGGTGACTGAAAACACCATGGCTTAGGTTAGGCGCACACTAGTCTTCAAGGAAACATCCCTGTTCTTCAGTGCTTGAAAGAGCTCTTTTGCAACGGACTTGCCCAATGCAATACATCATCTGATGTCCTGACTGCTGCTTCCACTGGTGCTGATTACAGAACCAAGTAATAAGAAGTCTTTGACAATTTCAATCTTTTCTCCATTTATCGTGATGCTGCTTATTGGTCCAGTTGTGAGGATTTTTGTTTACTTTATATTGAGGTGTAATTCATACTACAGATTGCAGTCTTCAACCTTCATCAGCAAGTGCTTCAAATCATCCTCACTTTCAGCAAGTTGTGTCGTTTGTGTATCGCAGGTTGTTAATGAGCCTTTCACCAATTATGATGCCACATTCTTCTTCATACAGTCCAGCTTCTTGGATTATTTCCTCGGCATATAAATTGAATAAGTATGGGGAAAGGATACAACCCTGACACACTCCCTTCCCGATTTTAAACCAAGCAGTATCCCCTTGTTCTGTTCAAATGACAGCCTCTTTTTCTATGTAAAGATTCCTCATGAGCACAATCAAGTGCTCTGGAATTCCCATTCTTCTTAATGTTATCCATAATTTTTTATGATCCACATAATTGAATACTTTTGCATAGTCAATAAAACACAAGTAAACATCTTTCTGGTATTCTTTGCTTTCACCCAAGATC